GAAAGTGTCTCTAATGCCCCCTGCTATCAGACCCAGCAAAGGCCGGGCATCGGGATGGGAAGCCTTTATTCGTGTGCTACCAGTTCTGGGGGAGAAGCAAAGGACTCCAGTCCCATAGGGGTTAGCCTGGCACCCTTCCTCTGCACATCAGGTGGGAGAGCTTGCCCCCACCACTATGAAGACAGTCCCATGAACCGCATCACCCACACCGCAGAGAGACAGGCCAGGGGGAAAAAAGGGGTCATCGCAGCTGCTGAAGTAGCCAAGCCAATATCGTCTCCGGCACACCGACATCCCAGGGAACGTGGTAGCTCTCAGAGCTGCAAGGTCTCCAGCTCAAGTTTTTCAGAGGTTTTCTGTACTCCCAGAGGGGATGGCTCCATCAGCTGTGATGAAATGCAGCCCACCTGAGCCCTGTGGGATGCCAGGATTGACGCCTGATAGGACCAGCTGCTTCCTGGCACCCAGACTGCTGCACCATGGTACACAGATGGTGAGAGCAAGATGTGGCCCCTGGCACCCACGCAGGTACAGATGGCAAGGGCAACAAGTAGCCCCTGGAGAAGCAGGAGATAAAATTTCTGCTTGCTAAGGGGAAGGATGAAAATGCTGTTGGAAAAGCTCTGGCTGGAACCCACCATCTTTTGCATAAGTCACCACCAGTTTCTGCAGATGCTCCAGTCTCCCCTTTGCAGTTGCAATACTTTACAGTAAAATAATCTATAAAACCATCCCTTCTACCGTACCCAGACCTCACCTGAGATGGGGACCTGCTGGGCTATGTACTACACACAAGGAACAAAACCATCTGCACAGACAAAGGAAGTCCCAATTCATGGGGCACGGATACAGACGGCATGAGCAGTCAGCAGATCAGGAACCAAAGATGAAACCCACCCAAATCCCAGGATGCCCAAAAGTCTGCCCTTGCCACTAGAACCGTGAAGGTCACAGACTGGACTTGTTGGGGGCAGAGGACCCCCCCGCCCCCCTGCTTAGCAGCAGGGCCCTTCAACGCCACGTTGTATCAGCTGGAGGAAAGGGGGCTTGGACCAGATAAGGGGAAACCGAGAGAATCAAGTTGCAGAAGTGTCTGATGTCAAGTGCTCGGTATTTTCACACGTTCCTCAGAGGGCAACCCCACGAGCCAGGCAACAAGCTGAGCCATTGCATAGAAAAGCAGCACGAGGATACTGACTGGGTGTGGGGGAGGAACTGAATAGGACCGGACTGTTTTAAAGCCCAAGAGCCGGAGGGCTGCAGGGGGAGAACGGGTCTGCCAGCCACCTGGGCTGCTCCAGACGGGGAGCCAGAGGGGCTGAAGCCTTAACAATGAGGACTCTGTCTTCTCCAAGAGCAGCCGCAGCCGCACAGCAAGCGTCCCAGGATGGGGGGAAGGAGTCCAGGAAGTCAGCAAACAAGCTTTGCTTATCAATATGAGCGAACACTCAGCAGTGCACGGGGCTGCTCCCGGGAAATCCTGCTTTTACACTGGCGTTGGCCTGCAATGGGGTTTTCCTGGTTGCAAGCCCAGCAGGAAGGAGGTTGCAGACGGCAAGGTCTTTGCTGCCTCTCTAACCCCGTCAGCAGGATCCAGCTGTTTGTAACCCTACAGCAAACCTACATGCTCCCGGGAGGATGCAGCATATAGCGAGCCTGGAGAAGGGCCCCATCCGCGAGTCCGTCCCAAGCCCACCTGCAGGGCCAGGAAGATGCGCTCACGGCCTTTCCTCGCCCCTTGGGCCTGAACTCTGTATCCTGGGACCACAGCCCAGCAGCTCTCACATGGGGCGGGCGGGCCAGGGCCAAGACAATGCAGCTTTTCTGTTGTGAAGGGTTGTTTGCTTAGCGCTGGACCTAAGGGTTACACAAACCCGAGGAGCTCTCCATGGCCAGCACCCGCGCTCTCCCCATCTGCGGGGGAGGAGGAAAGGGTGGAAATCCAGACTTTGCAATTGTTTTCACAACCTACGGTAAAATATATCCAGCGCCTAGACCTCTACTGGGCACGGGGAACCCACTCCTGAAGTCTCACACAAGGGGATAAAGAGATTCCCTGTTGCAGAGCACCAACCTCTCTTTGCAAGTGGGGTGCATCTCATGGCCACCCTCGGCTCTCGTGGGAGGCTCTGGGAATGCTCTCAGGACCCGCGGAGAGCAGGAGGTAACCCAGCACCAAGCAGATTAAGTACTCACCAATATGCAGTAGTGCTGGGGAGGGAGAGGC